TACACATTTTTTAAAATTTACTTTTTAATTTAAATGTATTAAACATACATATTTATAGGGTTCAGAGTTATATTTCAATAGATGTATACAATGTGTGATAATCAATCAGGGCAATTAGCGTATTCATCATCATAAAAATTTATCATTTGTGATGAGAGCATTTGAGCTCCTCTTTTCTAGTCATTTGAAGACAAACAATAATCTATTATTAATTACAGATCCTAGCACTACTGGAAACCACTAGAACTTATTTTTCCTACCTAGATGTGATTTTGTACCCTCCTTTATACTTTAAAAGCATATATTCTCCAAGGTCTATTCTTGGTTCACATTTATTTTTCCTTGACACTTTCAGGTTCAGCAATTTTGCCAACTCTAACAGCTTCAACTTAATTTCTATTTAATTAATTCCTAAATCTGTATCTTCAGCCTTGTTTCTTGTTGTTTTAGACTAATACTTTCCATCTCTGGCTAACTATCTCAAACAAATATGTCCCCAAACTAATTCACTGCCTTTTCTCTAAAACCATCCCATTTTTCTATTCCTGACAATGGTACCCTTTAGTTATATTACTTGGAATTGCAGTTGATTGTCTTGGACTTCTTTCTTTTCTCCGACCCAATATCTAATGGGTAGCCAGGACAGATTGAGTCTACCTGTATAATTTCCCTCCCCAATATATCCCCTGCCCCTTTTCATTCTCACTGTTTCTTTCTAATTCAGAGCCCTTGCCACCATCCATAGTGTGCTTCTGAGTTGTCTCTTCCTTCTTTTTTTATGTTTCATAACTATTCACTAATCTTCACTTATCACAGCCTTACTTACATCAATATCTTGGTCAAAATTATTCCCTGACTCCTGTTTAATAAAAATGAAATTCAGTCTATTTAGCATGACATTCAAAACTCCACAGTCTGGCTCCAACCTATCATTTCAACTTTCTTTTTCATACTAGTCATTTAGAGCAATGCACCCTAGATTATTCACTGGTGGTGCAAAATGGTCTGCAATCTACCACTTCTACACTTCTCCTGTTACTGTTCCCTCTACATAAATGAGCTCTCTCTGAAATCATACCCATTTTGTATGGTCCAGTGCTTGACATTTTATTCAGAAGAAATCCTTCTCTCTCTTTTGTATGAATTTATGTAGTCCCCTTTCTTCTTTCTTAAAGGAGTCATCATTCTTTACATAATATTGCTTATCTGTGCCCATGATATTTTTCCTCATCTAGATTATAAATCTCTCACAATATAGGCTGTCTGATTTATTTTTACCCCCTTAATATTAACTCTAATGTTAATAAGCATTTGATAGATGTCTATTAAATGAATGAGAATTAATGTGCTTTCCAAATGTGAACAATTTATTCCTTGCATGAGCATTAAATGTGGGAAAATGTGACTCATTAATTGGTTCAGTAAGACCAACTACTAAAACTATTGTGGGTTGCATGCTAGATCTCATACAGAATTAATGAGAAAAAAGCAAAAATCACAATTTCTGACATTAGAAGCTTAAAATTTTTAAAAATAGCCAATGATAATTAACACTGTTTAATTTACAACAAAAATTAAAGAAACATGGACACCATTTTTACCTTTATCTGGCCTTTCTCACATGGCTCACTGCACACGGATCTGATGACATTGCTTTTCTTGGACCATACTTCATCATCATCCATTTTTAGTTCTCCATTGTCCCAGCTTCCAACATTGATGTAATCAAAATAATCTTTTCCCATTTCCTTGAAATTCATTATTTCATACCTTAGAAACAAGATTATAATAATTATTCAAGTAAGAATATACATATTCAGCTATGAAAATGGTATAGATTATAGTCTCCAAATATGTATCTACTGTCATATAAGTAACACTGGAATTTTCCATGACAATACACATAGAATGTGAAAAAACCCGTCTGTTTCACTTTCTCTTCAGAGCCTATTTTTTTTTTTTTTTTACTTTCAAGCTTATACCTGAAATAGAAAATAATCCCATGTGAGAAGGTGACTTGAACTCAGCAGGATGAAAGACAGTTTTGAAATAACTTCAAGAAGTTTAAACATGTACTACTGTGAGGCTTCTAAAAAAAGATAGGAAGATTTTTGTGTTCATTCAAGTAAAATGATAAATTTTTTT